ATCACTAGGGTCCTAAAACGTTTTGGCTAAGCGCTGAGAGCATCTATACTAGTAAGCTGAGAGCTCTTGAGAAAATTTGGATTTACATTACATTTGTAAAACGTTTTAGCCAATACGTCTTATGGCTCTAGTGTAAATCCAACAACTAAAGCCCAATTTACACTACACACGACATTCTAAGACGTCTTGGCTAAAACGTTTCAGAAAAATTATGTTGAGTTTACATCAGCATTTTCAAGACGTCTTACGAAATATTATTGAGTTTACACCTGTTTTCCTAATATTTAGATTTGTTTTGAATTTCACAAAAATTGATGTAACTTCATATTTTTATGGGTTATGGGGAGGGGGGTGCGCCCCTGGGTAATATGAGAATATCAGTTCAGTATTGGTCGAAGGACGGTTCAGTCAACATGGCCATTCCGTTCCGTCCCTACTTAGATACTTTTTGCGAAAGGATGCATCGTTAAAAGCATTGTTAAAAGCACGAAAGAGAGCAGCACGATTTGGTGCATATATCAGGAATATGGAAGAACACCAGGCAAAGATGGAGATTGTTCTTCTTCTTGATATTTTTGGGACGATATTAGGAACAATCGTTTGGACAAAAGAAAGGTACATGTGACACATTTGGTGGATTTACACTTGCGCGCTAAGACGTCTTAGCTAAAACGTTTTAGCGTTAAAGCGTTTTACAAATGTAATGTAAATCCAGATTTACTCAAGAGCTCTCGGCTAAGAGCGCTTAGCTAAAACGTTTTAGAACCCTAGTCATAGCCAAGACGTCTTAGCGTTAAAACGTTTTACGAAGCAAGTGTAAATCCATCGGTTTTAGCTAAGAGCTCTTAGCCCGGTTTTTTGCGTTGCGCCGAACGAAACATTTGAAACTTTCCATTTACATATGTCGCATGGTCCTTTATTTTGCCTTATCCCTTGTTCCCAATACCATCCCAAAATTATTGAGAAGAACTTATTTGCCTGGCGATTTATCATAATCCTAATTTATGCATACAATCTTCCTGTTCTCTTTCATGCTTTTAACAATGCTGTCTTTAGGACATATTTTCTGAAACCGATGCATTCTTTAGTACAAAGTCGAGTACGAAGTATGGAAGCGGGTAAGGAATAGCTATATTGACTGAACCGTCCTTCAACCAGTACTGAACTGCCTTTTTCATTTTACATGTATACCTACATATCTCTAAGACGTTTTAGGAAAACATGTGTAAACTCGATCTTATTTCCTAAGACGTCTTGAAAATGGTAATGTAAACTCAACTTAATTTTCCTAAAACGTTTTAGCCAAAACGTCTTGAAATGCTGCGCGTAGTGTAAATTGGGCTATTTAAACAGAAAGTCTTCTTTCGTTCAGCGCAAAGCACAAAACCGAGGTAAGAGCTCTTAGCTAAAACCGATGGATTTACAATCGCTTTGTAAAACTTAAATAACGCTAAGACGTCTTGGCTATGACTAGGGTCCTAAAACGTTTTAGCTAAGCGCTCTTAGCCGAGAGCTCTTGAGAAAATCTGGATTTACATTACATTTGTAAAACGTTTTACCCATGACGTCCTAGGGCTCTAATCCAACAATAATTCCATTGATGTAAATTTCTTTTGTGTGAAGCTCACTAGTGAAGAATTTATGACAATGTGGAGTAATTGTATCTTCAAAGGTGTTATATGATTCATTAGTGTCATCATATAATTAAACAATGGCATAATTGATAGTTTTGCTAATTGTATTCATGAAATATGAATGAAAATACATAAATTCTACGAATGAACAGTAAGTAATGTAATTGATTTGTTGTTTAAGTATTTTAGCCTTGGACTCAGTGTAATGTGGAATGACCATTCCTTGAAGGTGTTGCTTTCCAAAATTTGCACGAGATGCGCAACATCAAGTGTTAATTTTAGGAAACAACGCCTAAAGAAATGATTATTCCACAATGCATTGAGTCTTAGGCTATAGTTCTTTTCACACTTTGCAAAATACTTTCTACCATGTGACTAAAAGATACGAAATCACTAAAATAACATATTTTCGATGAACGTTTTTGCAAGGGTCAAGTTGGCAAAACATCAATTTCAATCTGTAGAGTCAAGTTGTCACCTTGACAACCCCATAATGAATGACCTTGGATACGGTCATTGGTTATATAATGCACTGCAGTTATTTGAAAAACTGTGTTCGGATTGGCTGGAATAGAAAATAACGTATGAAAGTAACATATGATATCTGAGTCCCAGGTCTATTTTTACTCTTAAAAATGCTTACAACGTAATATTTTATGAGCCATCTTTGAGATGTAAGCTCCGAATCATTGCCCATCTGAGGAATATAACTCATAAATGAGACGATTACAATGCTGAAAGTAGTAGTGTATCTAAGACATTCTACTTTAGGAATGCGGCGTTATTCAATGTGAATGAGGTAACGACAATTTATGTACAATGCAACGAAATGCAATGCAATACTAAACAACAAAATACAGTATAATGCAATACAATACAAATCCTAATAAGAGAAAAACTTCTGCGTTAAACCTTGCAAGTACCATCAAAATCATACCGTTAAACCAGCATAATATCTCTTTCGTCATCATGATGCATCGAACTGATAACCAGAACAAAATGCACAAAAAATCTCCATTTATTACCGTCACGTTGATTTTGAGACGTGCATTTTATACCTGTGTAAAAGTAAATGCATACCCCTCGTAGTTGATGATTTTTTATTTACAGTCAAAGATAAACATTAAAGAAATGTTTTGATGTTTTGATAATGATGACAGCATCATAGTTTTAAGCGATCGAAAAACATCTTTAAAAGATAAACTTTGAACTTCATTTCACGTTGATGGCTTAAAACTATCCAGGCGTACTTTATCATCGAGACAAAAATTAATCATAGTTTCATTAGATCATCAAATAATCCAAAACATGGACTAACACGAATATTATTAGATTTAGAGGTTGCAAAATCACATCCCTTTGTTAATATAGTCTTTCGTTATTATTGTTAACCGATCAATCTCTATCGTATTGTATTTTGATAAAATAAATCACGACCAATTGCTTCGGAATTCTGCTCAATTTCAATTCGCTTTTAATACAAACTTATCGACAGATATTAATCTTCTAGGGAAAATAAAATCGCCGGTCTGCAATTACTATCCACTCAATGACTAAGAATGACAACTCCATTGTTCGCAGATCATTTCTCTGAGAAGTCGATACTATCATCTAGTTGTTCTGCCCACTTCTTGCGACATTCTATAATTTGTAAATAAGAAGATAAAATTCGTACTTGTGCATCTTCGACTTCTAACAATTAAATGAAAATTTAATCAAACTAACTTTTAGTAAAAAAATATTACATAGATCGTTATGAACCATAAAGTTGGAATTTATATATATTTTTATCTAGAAATAGTCATTCTTGAAAAATAAATAGGTTCTAATGATCCTTAGTTTAGCCTTTATACAAATCCTGAAGATTAAAAGAATGCTTCGTATTGTGTCAGTATATTTATCAGGCAGTTTAGATTGTGCCTATATGTTATCTGATACATTTGTTCGCCACTTTGAGGGACCCATTGCGGTATGAAGAGGTCTTACTCCCTAGTAGGTGGGATAACATTTATCCACCCTGGTGAAGATACTCGTTTCCCAGTTTGATTTTCAATTATGAAAACATCATACCTTGGAAATTCAAGATGGTGAAGATGCGTATTTGACGTATTTTTATTATTTCAGGTTTTAGTTTTTCTATATCTTTGATTAATTTTGTGAAAAAAATTATTTCCCTCAGGGAAATGCAATACAATGCAACGAAATGCAATGTAATACTAGAATACAATGCAATACCAGAACGCAAAGCCTTCCCAATATGACTAAATCGGCAAGTGCTATAACCAGTTTGCTAATGATGAAGATTTATCAGAATTAGGAGGCCAGATCTTGCACATTGACAGAACTTGATATGTGTTCATTCCAATACTCCAGTTTCTGCTTCAATAGTCATCATGTTTATGTGTGTTGCGTTTCTTTCGGTTTATGAGTTGAACTATTTCATGTAATTTATAAAAAGGGTCAAATATAAAGGGGACAATAATCCACGAGGACCATACATTACGGAGTAAGAGATTTTTCAGTCTTTGTTAGTAGATGACAACCCCATGTGGCCTTCATCAATGCTTATAATAGAGGGTTGGCGGTATGAAGAATAATGAAAACATTGAAAGTCAGTACCCGAGTACATAAATCGTAATTGCTGATCTTTACCACTCTATGTTTCAATAGTATAGGCATTTGGATCCTATGAGACTTTTTTTACCAGTGATACATCGCACATCGACTAATTTGTTTAGATTGCCTTACTTCATCGAAGGGACTCCGGCGTAGACATGGGCTGCATTAATGATTACTGGCATGGTAAATAGAATCTTGAGACCTCTTGGTACAAAGGGAACATCACTCATTTGATGTTTTAAGGGAGTTATCATTCAACATGTATTTATAGCAGCCCTCATTTTCGAAATTGTTAGTAATGGTTTCATTTACATTACATTTAGCATAAACATTGTTGATTAAACCAGCATAATTCTGGTGAACTGGAAATAATTCATGCGTGTATTCCGTCCATGATCTTGAACTAGAACATTCACTCATCGTAATTAGTCCCAGACATTTCATGAACTCATGCATTCGCTTCGATAGATTCATTTAGAGAAAATGATCACGTTAATTGACACACAACGAGAAAAGATATCTCATTAAGAATATGTGTTTTCTTCCATAGAGTTTCAAATATAACGCATTTACATGATGTATGTCTTGTTTCTATAATACATTCGTTATTATATACTTGAGAACCAGTGACCATGATTAGTTTGTAAAGCCATGGAATGGTATGGATATGCCTTGTACTTGTTATAGTCATACCTTCTGAATAGATCGGGTTCTAAAATAAAATCAAAGCTAATACACAAAACTTACGAAAGAGATCATAGGAAGGTTCCACGCAGCAGCTATTCTAGCCTCAGTTCTACAAGTGTCCTCAGGCCCAATAAACGCTATGGTGTCATTCTGCCATAGCTCCGTCAACGCATCTATACTAATAAGCGGATCTGCAGAATTATCCTTAAAAATAAACTCCAGCGTATGGTTTGCTAGGATTTCTGAACTATTGTTGATTTGTTCAATTGCGTATGTGATCGCCCCAGAAACCTTCCTGCCCTCAGTCGGGTCGTAATTGCCAATACGCTCGAAAGCGGGGATGTACCCAATTCTAAAGACATCTCCTAATAAGACACGTATCAAAAAGTTGAAGAAAACTGTCAAAGTTAAAGATTGTCGCATCGTGTCTTAAGATAATAGTAGCCTTGATTTCTATGTCGGTGTCTTTGGTTGAATTTTCTTAATGATGTGTAGTTGGTTCAAATCCGTTCCATACACCTTATGCATTTTAAACTAACTAGCAACAGAGTTAATTTCATTTTCTATTCAAACGAATCGTTTTTATTTACATACAGCAGTCTATAAAACCATCCAGTTCGAACACCGGCGTACTACTCTGTTTTGATTTTGCGATACTCCTTTGAGAGATCTCGATAAGGAAATATTAGTTTTTGGTGGTATTAAAAGTAGTCTATCGATACAGATATTTCCTCAATACCTTAATCCGCATTATCATCATAAATGACGTGTGTTCTGTTTTCGCTGATTGAAATGTCATACAGAAATATTCGATTGAAATATTGTTCACTAATCAGTTGAACTATTTTAACTTTGCTTACAACAGCTGATTCAATGAGAACTAGCTTATAAATGTTCCAGCTAAGTTTATTTGCCGATGATAAACCTGTTTTTCGAGTACCTCTCTTGGGAAACTGTCCTCAGTGCAAAGCGACTCCGTAATCCTAGTGATTGGCACTTTTCTTTATCTTTTAATGTCTGTAATTGCTACTTTGAACGCATTTATAGCTTCAAACACTATTTTTTACAAACGCTGCTTTTGAAATTCTTGGAGACCAGATTATAAACGTTACACCATCCGTCTCTGTGGATTAAATCAAACTGCTAGGAAACATTAATTACACGTTACCATGGAAACGTTGAGTCCCATTTGTGCGTGTATCATTAGAAGTTCCAACGACTTAGGGCTTCATTCTCCATTGTATCATAATTTATTTGAAAATATATTGAATTGCAAGCTTTGTTGGAGCATGTATCATATTCATTTTAATTTGTATATTAATCCTACCAATATGCAATAATGCGGAGAAATTACCAATAACCTTTTTCTTATGTATACACTCTCTTTCATACTTTTGGAAACCTGATGATTTTCGCATTGAAGATTGTTTGCCTGTCGCCGCACTTTGAGAAGCGTTCTGTAAGTCAATTAGCCTTATTTATAGTCATGATTGTTTTTGACTATACATTCCCTCCAGCCCAGCCTATTATGTCACCACCACAAACGGCGACACATTGTTTTAATCTCCAACCTTTTTGTGGACGGTGTTCGGCGGTTGGCGTTCGGCGTCTGTAACAAATAGCAGGTTGTGGCATTTTGCATTTTGATGCTTTGTTTTATCATCATTATTGAAATATGGCAATCTACCAAACATGGAATAAAATAGGTAAATAAATTGTTGATAGCACATTGTCTTTGGAAGGGGTAGAATTCTCTCTAAATATAATCACAGGGGATGATCTCTCTATTAACATGTCACTCAAAATGAAATTGCATGATGCAACAACATGCAAAAAATATGATCTATAAACTGCTGTAAAAGCAGATACTCATGTAACAGCAGTTATGATACCGTAGTAAAGTATAGTGTGTACCAATTACTGTTTATTGTCCGAAATTACAAGAGATTACAGAGGATATTCAGTTCAGCCTTAACTCTTGACCATGTTCTGTCCCTGAAATGCCCTCCCCCTAAAAAACATACAAGCCTGCATTTTGCACCATCGCACAAATTTGCACCATCGCATTTTGCACCATCGTAATTTGCACCAACACACTAACTTGCACCATCGCCCGACTGTGCACCATTGAAATAAACCTTCTTTTCTGTAAATTGAACATATAGGAAGAGGTGCATTTTTAAAATGCTGACCATGTGAGCATTTTTTCAAATTTAATATTCACAGATAGGGTTTTATTAAGTTAAACGATTTGATGGTGCAAATTTAGAATATGTCTATTTATGGATAAGGGTAAAGACTGAGTCACTTTAAGAAATTGCTAGTGAAAATAATTATGAATATTAATAAGGCAAATCCGGTTTTTAGGAAACAATAAAACGTTTCTTTGTAAATTGTTCTCCGATTTGGCGACATAATATCTGATTAAATCGGTTGTTTACCGTTCAGCGATAACAAAATATGAATTTCATTGAGTTACATTGTCATTATATAGCGTATAACAGTCAACGCCAGCGTAACATTTCAATTAATCTTTTCCCAAGTTTAACATTTAATAACAGTTCGTGACACTTATAAGAAATTATTATCTTAAAAGCATCATAAAACAGCAACCACCTTGTTAGAGTTGGCTCTCAGGAAATCGTTGTAATGAAGTCATAATCAAAGGGACCCCATGGCTAACATTTCACTGTATCATTCCCACTCCTATGATATTTCAATGTAGAATCGGATACATTGATTTCTATACAAACCGGTGAGTTAAGTTCAGCTTTATGCCTATACTTTTTCTCTGTGTTGTCTTATCTTTTCCTCTCTGGAATTAAAATTTGCATTTTTGTTGGAAACTAACTCGCCAACTATTTTAGCTAGACTCAATACAATAATTCAAGTGATAAGCTTCCTCCACATAAAGTGGCAGCAAAGAAGAGTACTAGTGTAAAGAGAGAAATTAAAATAGGCCTAGTTGAATCAATATTGTCAAATACATGCCAAATTTTCCATAACAATCCCAATATTTTAGTATCTGAAACATTTCAAACAAAACATTAGTTTGTTCCCACTGAACTGCATTTTATAATGTTTTTATATTTTCCTTGATAAGATGCTGAACTGAAATCCACTTAGTGGGTTAAATAAAAATACATGCAAGGTGATTTTAAATGGCTGCCACTTTAATTGAAAGCGCGTCTCAGTGTTTGTCATGGTACTAGTTTTTACTACATCTTAATGTTTCCATAAAATAAAAATATAAGCTATGACTACTCGCCAATATTACCATGGAGATTACAATAGTAACTGAGAATTGTTTCTTTTTTACTACAGCTTTATTACAAACTGTATTTTAGGTAAGTGAAGTAGAACCAGTATGTTTCATAAAAGAAAGTCTAATTTTATTCTGTCACCACCACAAGTGGTGACAATTTGTTATGGTCTCCCAACCTTTTTTGTGTATGGTGTTCTGCTATAGGCGTCTGTAGTGGTGATATTTTGCATGTTAAAGCCTTGGTCCATGTTCAGTTGCTTCTTAAAACGTCATCGATTTCAACACTTTTTAAAAATGCTGCTTTGGGAAATCTCTTGATTTTGTTTGTTTTCCTGGTTTAGAATTCTAGTTTTAAAGACACTCGTCACTATTTCTTTCATAAAAAGGTCCCCTTTCTGCTGTTTTTGTTAGGTAGAACACATCCACATCCACCCAAAAGAAATCATCCCACTTTGATTTCTTACAACTCATCTCACTTTAACTTAAACAAGGCATTAACATGACAAAATGTCACCACCTGCAAATGGTGATGATAATTGTTACAGATAAAGGTCAACCAAAGGTCAAATCTCAAATTTAAAGTCAGATATGAATTCCTGAGAACCAGTTTGTGATATTGAAAAAATGGTCAATTTAAAGTAAGATTCAGTCAGTCTAAACAGTAATTTTAAAATTATTCAAAGTTGTAAAAATTTGTGACAAATGCCGACCTCTTAACACCAACCAGCATCCACAAAAAAGTATGGAGATTTTATCAATATGTCATCAATTTTGGTTGTGACATAACAAATCATCCCAATTTGTCCACCTTAATCAACTCAAACCACTCTGACCAACTTAAACAATTAATAAAATAAGCCATCGTTGTTCCAACATTACTAACATTCTAATGAATTCAAACAAATTGATGAATGGGATTCAGGATTAATCTTCATGGAGAAAGGCACAATATTTATATAAAATGATGTTTGCTTGTTATCCACCAAGCATGGTTAATGGATTATATGCCTTGTTTGATCTCTTTCCTATCTCTCTTTTAAGGAAGAAATATTTCTACTGATGACACCAGGCATAAGATTCTACATATGCATCAATGAGTTTTTTCAAATGAAATCAATTGAAATCAAACGAGTAAATCAGCAACTCAACAGAGTAGCAAATCCCACAGAACAAATGATTTTCAAACAAATCACTCATCATTTTGAACATTGTATAATTTTATGTACATTTAAGCATGTGCTATTCTAGTTGAAAGAGAATGATTTAAGTAAGAGCATCCCGTATTGGTGTGCTACCATTTTAAAGATGTTATAAATAAAATAATAATTTAAGCAAAATCGACATGCACGATGTGGCGTGACAAAATATTTAATACATGTAATAGAAGATCTTACTCGAGTAGTGGCCCATGTTGAATTTGAGAAATTCCTTTTCAAACAGATGTCCTATTTCCTTTGCACTGTTAAAGCCAGTGACTGGTATTTGAACGTATCAAATTTTAAATTTTCGTAAAATTCTTTTCTTAAACAGTTTTTCTCTTTATCAAAGATATATATTTCTTATAAAAAGTGATTGATTTGAGCACACTGCAAAATATAGACCAAATCTGATCGATCCCTAGTATTTGAGTTCTCAAAGAAAAATTAAACCAACTGCTCAACAAGGTATTAACATGCAAAATGTCACAACCTGCCATTAGTTACAGAATCCGCAATTTGTTATAGACGCCATGTCTAAAAGTTGGGAGTCTAACAATATGTCAACACTTCTGGTGGTGACATAAAAATTTACCCAAATCCATCTAGCAGTTTTCGACAATTACATGGATGGACAGAGGGACAAACAAGGATGGCCTCTCTATATCCCTTCTCGAACTCCGTCTAGTGGGTAATTAATATTGATAAATTATTGGGCAGTAATGTCTGCTAAAATACAGAGATCAATATTTTGCATCATTAACTTTTGTAAAATAAAAGGTCATAGTTTGATAACATTTAATTGCAATTGATGCAGGTCTTCCGAATCAAAACAGTTTCTTTTTTTGATTTTTATGATAGTAAATTGATGGCATTTGTGCCTTAACAGCCATCAAAATTAGAATCGATGGGAAAATATTCCCACTGCATATTACTTAAATTGATGATTTATATCAAAGAGCCTGTAGGCTATTAATAAACCTATTACTTATAGAACTTAATATCTGTTTTTATTTCTGTATTTTTGTCACAATTTATAATATGACTGATGTATTAAATTATGAGTTATTTTACATGGCCATTAGAAATCGATATTTAATTAACATTGGTCATTGACATAAATGATGAGCCAAAACAGCAAATATGCAAGGCTTTAACTTGACCCTGTGATAAATATTAAAGGAATAATAATTAGAAACTTTGTGGCATTTCCCAATGCAACACAAGTACATAAAACACAGCACACTTTGAACAATATCATTCCTAAAAATGAAAACCTGCTGTTTTACAAATTATGCATCGTGCCCATACATGAATTAAGCAGCTCTAGATTTTCATACCAAGTCACATCTCTGAAAATTTCAAATCAATCCATCAGTTTGTCTGAAACCATTGTTTACCTATGCTTGTTTATAAATATGAGAAACAGAGTGTTTTATAAATATGGTAAACATAGTGTTTCAATAAAACAAAACACGATGTTGAAAAACAATTTGTATATTCTCAACAGGAAAGTTATGTTGTACTGGAAAGTCCCTCGCATAAGTGCCTTGAAGAGATATTGCCATATAAAGTATGAGATATAATCCCCATAGGGAGATTTAAACTCTGATTTACATGTTTTATATGATTCTTAACATTTCTAAAATAGTTAAGTTCTGTTTATGAGCCACTTAAGAGTTTTCATATTCTTAGATAAAGTAAAAAAGTAATGTTTCCCATTCTGATACTCATCCCATCTTCTTTTAGATACGAGTACCATGGTAACCCATGATAAATGGTTCCCTGTTGACATATATTGTTTATGGATTCTTTATCCATAAGACATTGCACTTGCACTATATAACATATATGTACAGCCAAACTATTTTCTGTGATATCTAATGTTGAATCTACAACAATAATTTTGTGAAATCTAAAAGAGCAAGAAGTATTTCAATCATCTCAGACAAAAAATCTCAAATTCGGTTTCCAATTTTGAACAAGAAGCAACAATTTTGAAAAAAACATGAACAAAATCTTTCCACTGGTATTTGAGATATTACCCAAGTATCTTGTAATTCATTTAGACATGGATAGGAGACTTAACTTTAAGTATATCCCATTTTTCTCATAAAAAAGGTATCTCGTGCTTGTTTTAGGCTCATCACACTTTACAATTTCAACCCCTTATAACTTACCTCATTGGCCCCAACTAAAGTAAGCTGTAATCAAAATGTTTTATACTGTACTTCATTTATTTTTTTAAATAATAAATATTAACAATAATGATTATATGTACAATATGGTACAATCACACAATGTGTACTTTTTATTGACAAGATGTACTGTCATACAGTTGGTAAAATTATAAAGTTCTACTATGATATTTAAAGTCATTTCCCATGCCCATTGCCAGGTATTATCATACAGTAGGTACTATTGTATGATAGGCACTATCAATGTAGCTGCCCAGCTATGGTTTTATGCTTAGTAAATGTGTCCTCACTGGTTAGATGTATACACAGTAATGAAGCAGAGACTTTAGCATAGAGATCTGTCAGTTCTATATCATGGTGCCATTCTACATTGCCCCATTTTCCTATCTGAAAATACAAGAATAAACCCATAAAATGAATGACCTGAAACATGAAATCAATTACATGCACTAAATATAAAGGTATGGTACATAAGCTATAAATATAATCAAAAAACATGTGTAATTCACTACAAGCAGCCTTCATAGATTACATTTACTGGAAATTCACCAACCCTTTCATTGTATAACTTCAATGGCAAAATAATTACAGTATTTCTAACTTATAGATCTGTGTAACATATTTGTGATATCCTTTTAGACATTCAAGATCAAGATATACTAAGAATTGCATTTTTGGATTGTATAGTTAAACAAATTGATACTATTACTGTTTATTCAGTTGGCTGAGCAAATGTATATAATATAATATGTTTTATGCTGCCGTTATATTTAATTGAAGGCCCATTCTATTTTCTGATTCTCATCAGTAAGATTAATGATTTATTGCCTAAATAATGATGATTTTATTGCTTAGAGAAAAAAATGAACAAATGAATCTAGTTGAAGGCCCATGACAAAAGTAAATATATATCAGCAATGCCAAGGTAAAGCAAAGCTCATTGAAACATCTTGCCAAGCATCGGAATTGATACACTCTCAAAAGATAATGTGTCATGATTGTACATAAAAGATCAGCACAATTGCCATATTACTCTTGAAGTTATATTAAAAATGACACGTCAATGAAATCCATTTGCAATAGAACCATAATAACATTCCAAATTTATAAACTCAAAAATGGTAAATTGTCTATGGGCAGTTCTATATCACTCCAAACTTAGTTCAAACAGAAAATAAATCTTGACTCAAAAATCAAAATTTATTTTGTAATAATTGTTTATAGTTAGCTTAAAAAGAGACATGGAAGTCATGGAAATCTGTTTTCGTTCAGCACTAACATGAAACATTTTCAGAAAAATGCACTAAAATAAAAACTTTAAACTGACACATCCACCTCAGATTGACTATACAAGGCTCATAATTATTTGGTTAATCTAATATCAGGTCATTTGCATGTGACCTCCTTGCAATGTACAGTGTATGGTCTACTAGTCCTAATATTGTTCCCCAAAGGCATGTTTATATGGAAATGGTTTTCTAATGACCATTTATCCAGACAAAATTATGTCAAAGTTAATTTTTATTTCTCCCAAGGTAAAAATCTTCATACTCAGTAATTTTTGTACTTGGTGTACTTGATGATACTGGAAAATCAATGTAAATTCTTTTGTATTGTAAAGGTATTGCCATCAATATGGGTCGTTCAAAAAGTTAAGCGAAAAATATATCCAACTTTAACAATAATGAACCAATACTGTTCATAATTGATAGGTATGTGTTCCAATCTTATTTCCTTACACTGCCAAGGACATGTTTCATGTACAATATTTCTCTGATGATAACAACGGGCTCAACAGTAAAAATGAACGTTTATGACTGCCTAAAAATGTATGCATTGTGAGGGTCTGACAACATGGGGAGTCAATGGAATATCTAAATATTGAACTAAGTTTTCAGATTTTGAGGTGGTCAGTGCTTAGTGACCTGTTCACATATACAGATTTAAGCTCAGAAAAATATGTTATTTGAAAATAATCAATTATCCAAATAGTACTTTTCATGACCTAAAAAATGAGTTGAGGCCTTTAAATATGAATCTATCACACAGTGAAAATCGAAAATTCCTGGAATATATTATGAATATTGCCCATACATGTACTTGTTTTCCTGCATGTCCATCTATTAATGAATGATTTAACTACCTGATAATTCAATTCTAGTCTTGAAAGATCCACTGCAGTTTCTACTGTGGTGTAGCGGTCAACTAGTGCCATGGTCAGAATTACAGATTTTAATGCTTCAACAATGGTTTGAAATCCTGGAATATCAAACACATAAGTTAATAATTATGATGTTTATTTGTGGTAAAAATTGAATTTTACAATGGGGTATTTTTAATTTATGTACTATGTAACTGCTTCTTACTTTGTTTAGTCATGTAGAAATTAAGAGAAAACATTTGGTAAATACTGACATTAATTCCACGGAAGAACAGATGATTAAATTTTAAAGGCCCATTGCGTACCTACCTATAAGAGACCAGTCACTATATGATTGCAGATGTTGCCTGAATACTTCTACTGTCTCGGCAGGAACCAGTGGTTGGGCTATAGTTACAGTGGGCTCTAGCACTATATTGTATCTTGAAATATGAACAAGTTTGAAAATTATAAAAAGCAATTTTGTTTTTCTGAACTATATTTTGTTAATTCAATAGAGGTTCCATTGGACATCTACTGTATATGTTTAAATGGATTATAGACATTTGTCCATCTTCATCATCAGTACTTCAAAATATGTTCATCTTCATGAGTATTTGAAAAATTACTTTCTTATTGTTTTGTATTCTTGATAAAAAAAACCTGAACAATGAACAATCACAAAAAGATCAATTATGTTTCAATCAATGGTGGCTGGGGTATACTGAGCTTTATTATGAAAAATCTGAAACCGACTTTACTGATAACAGAAATGAATGGTAACGGACCAATCAAAAGCTCCAAAATCTAGTAATCATGCCTAGTATAGGTGAGAATAAATACATGTATATATTATATAAAAGTTATTTTATTTCCCAGGCTTTATTTAAGTAGCAACAACATCAAAGGTCAAAGATCACCCAATCTAACTATGTAACTTATGGCTTATATGTACCTTTCTTTAGCCCAGTCTAACAGTGGATCCCATTTGGCTTTTTGTAGTTCATGCAACTCTTGGGGTTCATCCATTCTATAACTGAAAATAGAATAATGTTGAGTGACCTTGGAATCTATCTATAAACACTACAGGACATAGAATATATTTAATGTTGTCACATTGAGCCTTTGCTTTCCTTTCCTTCGGAAAGACACTGAAAGATCAAGCAAGTTTTCCTTGCCAACTTTGTGGTATTTATATACAGTACACATATTCCTTGACATCGGAAAGTTATATGTCATGTTCATCAAATAATTCATTATAGTATTTTTTCATTATAGTATTTAAGGCTGATCACAAATCAAATCATATACGTCAGTGGTATGTAATTCATGGGCCTTGATTTGCCTTGTCTCATCACTAAACTTCTGTCATCCAATGGGAAGTTCTGAATCTAGAGGTTTCTACTAAGATCATCCTTGGCCCAAAAGTAATTCATTGCATTACATTGATCTGCTATGACAGCAGTGAAGGTCCGATCTTGAAGGATGACTAAGATAGGTTTTAAATTTTTTTAAAATTGGGCCACATTTTTTTGACAAACAGGTCTAAAAAATTTTTATTGAGAGTTTGCCAAATAAAAATTTGGTTTACAATAAAACTAAATAACTCTTTACAAATCATGCATTACAAGGAATAGAATCTAACATGTCCTTGATAGCAGACTTCAGGATGTATTTCCCTAAAACAAACCAAAAGTATTCTACAGCTTATACAGTAAAACCTATTGTATCCAAACACATCCCTTATCTGAACACCTCTCAAGGTGAACACTTTTATAATCTGCCATAGACTACTTCCATGTTAAAAAAACTTGAAATGTGAACACCTGCCAATCCAAATATTTTTGACAAATCCCGATATAGAGATTGGATTGGAAAGGTTTTACTGTACCTGTATATCCAAAAATACTTTATTAAAGAGCAACACACGTTTCGCATCATCATGTGATGGATTATCTATGAAAGCTCACCATATAGTATCTGTATTAAGGTATTCTATGAAAGCTCACCATATAGTATCTGTATTAAGGTATTCTATGAAAGCTCACCATATAGTATCTGTATTAAGGTATTCTATGAAAGCTCACCATATAGTATCTGTATTAAGGTCTTCTATGAAAGCTCACCATATAGTATCTGTATTAAGGTATTCTATGAAAGCTCACCATATAGTATCTGTATTAAGGTATTTTATGAGAGCTCACCGTATAGTATGTGTATTAAGGTATTCTATGAAAGCTCACCATATAGTATCTGTATTAAGGTATTCTAGCATGCCACCCACTACCACTTCTCTAGATCTCTTTGTTGGATTATCTTGGGCTGTATTACACAAGGAGGTCTGCAAGTTCATTGAAAAATATAATTAATTAGAAAGATAAAATGCACATTCATTTCACAAAGACTTATGGTTCCTTCAACTAACTACTTATATTACATGTATATGTAGATACAGATACAAGATTTAATTGATTCTTTCAATAGTAAATTCCCGCAAAAATATAACACGGGAATCATGGGTTTAATCACCTTAAACTAACTCATAATATAAATGAAATGAAATGTAGATCTAAGTTATTCAGTAAAACAATAAACATGAAATAATATTGAACTGCTTAAACTCACCAAGTGCATAGATGGTCTGTGAATGACTTGATCTTGTGCCTCCCATTCTGCCTGGACCGCCAGGGCTAGTGGCTCACTAGGTATTTGTAAAACAGTCCCCATTGGAGTACGTAGTTTGCGTTTATCCAGATTTATTTCAAACCCTTGGCGCCCCTCAGCTTGTGTTACAGTCACATTTTTATAAAATCGTTTGAGCTCTGAAAATGTTGAAATCTACTTTTTAAAATTATAACACAAGAATTCTAGGTAAAACATACTGTACTGTACTGTTCTATTAACTGGAACACTTGTGCAAAAGTAATGCTCTTCAAAGTCTCGTGTATTTTTGAAAGTGATCGACAAAGGTTCCCAAAAACAGAATATATTTGTATTACTATTCATCATTCAGTGTATGTTGTATACAATATTATGTCATGGGTCTTATTCTGAAGTCATGATATAAAATTAAAAATGATCAGATCGTTTGATATCAATCAGATTGTATGATATTTCCTGCAAGTGAACGATTCACTCCTGAGCAGTGAGCACTTATCATAAAATTAATCGAACTACAACTGACAGAGAATGTCCCTACTTCCGTTTATTTCAACCCCAGGATACACAATACAATACACAAGTAGTTGTGAGGGTGATATGAAAAATCAACCAAACACTGGCAAGTTGCATACTGATAGAGCCCATAGGCCAAGGGTAAAGAAATAGTAAGCCGTATATAGAAGAGACAAGTGAACAAGTCTGACTTAGACCACTTGTTAAGATGGAGATTTCAACAATATTTAGTGTATTATTTTCAAAAAGCAATGGGGAGTTGATAGAAAATTGATAGTTTGTAGCTCTTACCTAAGATTGAAACTCAGTCAGATGATATAGAGTGAATAATGCTGTCTAAAAGAGAGAATTTCTGAAAACCTGCAATTGCTTGGCAAGTTCATTAGTAAACAAGTGATCTGATTGGTCACTGCTGACCTCCCTGACCTCTTAACCAACCAAATCAGTTTCAGCTTGCCATGCAATATCCCAGATGCGAGTAGAAATAATCTTGATTTACATCATTAAAAACTGTTGTCATATTTGGAATCTACATGTAAAATTACATTTACAAATGTGGTTTTGAAAAGAGTTTATCAACTATGAAAAATTAATTTTCTTTGAAAATGTGACTTCGTGGTCGGGGAGATTCCCCATAGACCCCATGTTGTAAAACCACAAAAAGTGAAATATCTTTTCTTGTGTTGGGCAGATACTATTTTCTTTTACTGGACATATTTTAATTTGTATTAACTATCAGATACATATGGGTAATATGAGAAGTGAACCACTAAAACTGATGCATATTCAAGTTTAAGGGAATTTTGTAATACCCTGCCATGTTAATTCCCCCGAATCAGCCACCTGGTGGCGAAACTGGTAACTACCTACTCGCATCTGAGTAATTGCGGATATCCATAGTTGTCGTTTTATATGCAGTATTATATGCAGTTTTTAGATAAAGATTTGAAAAAAACAATGATATAAGTTTGAAAAACACTTTGAAGAAGATTTTGGAGGAATTTGGGAATACAATTTGATACCAGTAAGGAGAACTAGATCTAGTGCCAAGACTAAAAATTTTTGAAAGATTTTCAATCTTACTTGTGGACCTGTCTCTTCTATATACAGCTTACTATTACCCTTCCCCTGGCCTATGATAGAGCCCATGGTTGAAAGCCCAAAGTGCCAATGGGTAATGAATAGTATGTATCCAACAGACTGACTAGAAGTCAGTCTGTTATGATGTACTACTTTCCTGTGGAAATTGCAGTGAAATTTTTTGCACAAAATTATCAATTGGAGGAACAATTTCTTCAATAAAATAAACATTACAAAATTTCAATGAAATAGTAAGGTACAATTAAATGCAATAAAAAGTAAGACAGCATATTGTCAAGTGGAAATAAAGCTAGTTGAAGTAACAAATGTGCAAATTAATTTTACCCAATCGGCCATTTTGAATAGCACTTCCTATGTAAACAAATATTTGGAATAACCAAACTTTAACATAGGTGCCTTATAGTCTGAATATAATTCAGACTAAATAGGATATAGTCTAGGGTAATGAATAGTCCTAAATTTTGGACTTGCTTCAGAAACGATTTGGATATCATTGTAAAGTTCAAGCACATTGATGAACATACACTCATACCTTTGCTACTATATCTTTTCACATATTGCACTTGTACATGCTGTATTTCACGTAAAACCATGCAAAAGGTTTTGACAAGCATGTTGCCGGAAGTTGTTGATTTAAAAAGTAGGCTAAATCTTTGGAAATTAAAATCGAAAATACTAATATTTTATGGTCGTTACTTCAATCTAATTATTTTTTCATTTTGATAAATCATTGTGTACTCATTCTATTAATCATTTATAATACTGAATATTTCAAATTACTTTGATATTATGTTTCCGCCTAAACATATACAAGTTTTGCATGTGGTTGACCTTCGGCCATTTTTTTCAAAATCAAAATCATTTACAAATAAGTCATATAAGGGATGCCTGTTCCAACAGAGCTTGATCCACCACCACCGGCAAACTCAAGACAACCGGGGGTAACCACTTCTCTTTTATATAGTGGCTCAAAATTCCAAGGTAACCAGAAAAGCAAGGGCAATAGTTATGGTGTCGAAGTGAATTTGCAGGTGGGTTTTCCCGTTCACTTTCCTTTTGTAGACCATAGGCTAAGGGTTAAGTAATAGTAAGCTGTATATATAAGAGACAGGTGAACAACTCTGACTTAGACCACTTGTTAAGATGGAGATTTCAACAATATTTAGTGTATTATTTTCAAAAAGCCATGGGGAGTTGATATAAAATTGATAGTTTGTAGCTCTTACCTAAGATTGAAACTCAGTCAGATGATATAGAGTGAATAATGCTGTCTAAAAGAGAGAATTTCTGAAAACCTACAATTGCCTGGCAAGTTCATTAGTAAACAAGTGATCTGATTGGTCACTGCTGACCTCCCTGACCTCCACCAGTGACAATCAGTTTCAGCTTGCCAGGCAATTGTAGGTTTCCATAGTTGTTGTTTTATATGCAGTATAATATGCAGTTTTTAGATAAAGATTTGAAAAAAGAATGATATAAGTTTGAAAAACACTTTGAAGAAGATTTTGGAGAAATTTTGGAATAAAATTTGATACCAGTAAGGAGAACTAGTGCCAAGACTAAAAAAATTTGAATAATTTTCAATCTTACTTGTGGACCTGTCTCTTATATATACAGCTTACTATTACTTAACCCTTAGCCTATGTTGTAGACTAATGTCAACTGTCACGTGTCAAGCTAAGCTTGATTATTACTACATTTAGGTCAGTAATTAATTTAATTTAGATGATACAAAGTCTTTAGGATCTTCTTTATCAAAGTCTTTTTCATCTCAAATTCCATAAAATTGATTGAGCCGAAGTGATTGCACAAAATCTTGCCTATTTTCATAATTGTAGATTCCACGGACAATTCCCAAAGGTGCTCCCTGGGTATTAAGAGTGTGCCAACGTTTTGCAAGCACATTATCTGAAAAGTCAACCCCACATTTATGAACATGCTATCTATTGCAAGACTTACGCCTACCACAACCGTCGCCATGTTAATCAGTGTTTTTAAGTAGCGCAAGGATCCTGCCATGACCGTGGTAGTGTTATCTTGTAAGCCTGGTATAACCGTGACAGGCTGGTATAACCGCGACAATGCTGTATTATATTGCAAGGCTTGTCATGACCCTGGAAGTGTTATCGTGGAAGCCTGGCGCGACCGTAGCCTTTATTGTGGTTTATAAGAGAATGTAAATATTAATGTATAGTAGTAATTTTGATTTTGACATGATTAAGGTAGTTAAACACCATGATCATAGTATTAAACTGTTTAATTGTAATGACGATCACTTAAAATTGTTAAGGATATTCCTGGCATTAATGTCATACATATTTACTAGTCCTTGCAATACATTATATACCCTTTGCATTCGTTTGACTTCACTTCTTAAAAGAGAGCTTCGTCTTCAACTAGAAGAAGATAGTAGTTTAACTAGACTCTGCACGCAGGGTATACTTTATAACGGTCATAGTAGGACTAAGCCTAAATTTCTACATTACCACCCTCATATCCGAACTTGGAATACTATATCACATTGCCACGGTGGTCATACCAAGCCTTGCAATACCATATTACATTGTCACGGCCATGCCAGGCCTTGCAGTACTATATTACATTGCCACGGTCATGCCAGGCTTTGCAGAACTATATATCATTGTCCCGGGCATGCCAGGCTTTGCAGTACTATATTACATTGTCACGGTCATGGCAGGCATTGCAATATAATACAGCATTGTCGCGGTTATACCAGGCTTTCACGATAACATTACCACGGTCATGGCAGGATCCTTGCGCTACTTAAAAACACCGGAATAACATGGTGACGGTTACGCCAGGCGTTAGTCTTGCAACAGATAGGGTCTCCATTTATGGGGGAATTTGAGACTTGATTTCTAGCTGTTTTGTCTGACACTCGTTCGATGTTTGATGAGATTTGCTACGACTTATCAATGATAATATCATTGCTGTTATCTATTTTTTCGCTATAAATATAACTAGAATCACATTTGGAAAATATACAGGAAGTCTCGTAATACTTCAGCCATTTATTTTTCTAGCATGTTGACATGGAGAATTCCTATCTCTGTGGGTACTTAAAGATAAAAGGTCTAACTGAAGAGTATCCCACCCTCACAACATTCTTTGATGGAGAAATCATTAGTGATCGATACAAGTTCCTCACTCGTAAATGGGACGCAGATGAAGATGTTGACAGGAAACATTGGGTACGTTGTCTTTGCCTAATTTTTTTTCGGTCATACATATTCTTTGTACAGTAGTATTTATTATCAAAAATTAAATGTGACAGTTCTACACAATTTAGATTGACTAAGTTCAGAAAAAATGTTGGGCCTTTAAAAAAATTCAAAATTTGAGGCCCATTTTTTATAATTTGGCATAAAAAGGCCCAAAAAATATCAAATATAATGCCCAAAAAGGCCCACTGATCGAGGCCCTACAAAATTTTTGGGCCCAAATTTTTTTTGGTCCACCCAAAAAGATTTTCTGTTCCCCCTGGATCCAGCAGTGCAACATGTAGACTGTTTTCCGTTTAATTTTCAATTTAAAAGTATTAAGATCTTAATATACATGCATGTTAAAGGTTATGTTGTTATCTTTCTTATTATGAAAAATGTAGCATATCTTTTGTAGCTTATTGAGGTGTTCAGCTTTAAAGGAACTGCAGTGATTATTAGAACTACTTGCACAAATATGAGAAATAAAAAAGAGAATACTCACCACTTCTATATGTAGCATATATGAGGGTTATGTTATGGGAGGTTTTGAATATACGGTATATATAATATATCCTGAGGGAAATATAGATATCTTACTGAGGGCCTGAACATTATCATTGTTGAAAATATAGAGATTGTATTCTGGGAGCCAATCCTCCTTGTATCTGATCAAAACAGGTAAAAATAGGATTAATCCCCCTATTAAGGAAAAATGAAGAGATCACTGGACATTGTATCAACTTGATATGTTAGTATTGTTACATACGAAACATAATTGTTCTTCTATTTGCAGGGAAAATTCCTGTCCTTCTATCAGTTTGCTAAAACATTCAATTCTGACACCTTTGACTATGAAGAGCTTAAAAATACAGACTTCGTTTTCATGAGGTGGAAGGTATGTTGATTTTGATATTTGATATAACAATCTGGTAAAGTAGTAAGTGGTAAAAATGTGCCATTTGTCCAAGGAATCAAGATTGGTAGCGATTAGTGACATCATAAAAATCTCCATCTCTCAGCTCATGACACAGGTGGGGCTATTTTATGTTGGAAAGATATATAATGATCAATGGTTTACAAGGATTTTTGTTGATATTTTATATGCATGCATGTTATACATGTAAGCGTGAAAGAGCATCATCAGTTCATCATTTCTAATTCTTCTAATGGGATTTACTCCACATTAGCGTTGCCATTATCTAGTTATATTATTTTTGCTCTGTAAATTGTTATATCAGTTAAAAACAACAATGAAAATTTTCCTTTTCTAATATGTTGCATCAAGATTGTTTTTTAAATTGTGGACTTCATAAACCTGACCCATGTTACTATCACAAAAAATCTATATTTCTATCCCATATATAGGGTTTCAAAAAAACATGGCACATCCCTCCATCTACAGCAAAAACTACTAAAAAACATGATGTATTGTTTTTTATGACATGTGTGTTGTTGTTTCAGGAACATTTTCTTGTGCCAGACCACACTATTAAAGATATAAATGGTGCTTCATTTGCTGGGTTTTACTACATATGCTTTCAAAAGTCAACAGCCTCTATAGATGGCTACTACTACCACAGAAGCTCAGAATGGTAGGTAAAACATAATATAAGGGAATGTCCTTACTGGTCACATTGTGCTATGGACAGTAGAGTGGTAAAGGAATATTAATACAAATTGCTCATGACTTTAGACTAAAAACCTTACTTTGAAGCAAATAAAATACATATAAATGTAAAGAAAATTATACAATGATGATATCTTCTTTTAAAATGTTAATTGCAGGTTTCAGTCGCTGAATTTAACCCATGTACCAGAACACAGTGTCGCTGTATATGAGTTCAGATAAACCCCCATTTTTCCAACAGGATGAGATTATCAAATTGGTGGAGATGGAAATATGAACCATACTGAGGAGTCGTGGAGTGAAATTTATCGTAATATTCAATGGAATTTTCCCTTGCTCGAGCTCTAGGGAAATTTCTGCTCCATTGGGGGAAATTTCCCCTCCATAGTGCCAAATTAAGAGATTATGGATGACAATGTTGAAGGAATGGCAAATACGATCCATTAGTAATAGAATTGATTCTGTGAATGAATTAAACATACACAATTACCATCTAATTGTACTGAGACAATTTCTCTTATTGTTTGTCATCAACCTGTGTAACTACGTATATCGTGCAGTCCTTCATAATCATATCTGCCAACCCTCGGTATGATTCAGGAGGTGATCAGTTTTTGGCATCTCTCGGGCGATGGATCCCTTGTATAGTCTAACCATATTGCTTAGATAACCACTGGTTAAGGGACATTGCTTATTATTATACCATGTGTAAGCCATTGTATAAATAAACAATTGATAGTATGGACCAGATTTTCTTGTAATTACCCATGGGCTCTTAAATGAAAATTGGATTTTTGTTATGTTTTGCTTTGTAATTTAATCCAATTTGAGTTTTTAAAATACTTTCTATAAACTTATATAAGACCCACAGATATTTTCATTCAAATATTTTAAAGAATGTTTAAAGGTTGATCGTGATCATAATTGGTATTTTATATGCACTTTATAAAGCAAAAATAAGTTGTACAAAATTAGGTCATGATATTGAAGAACTTATAATTTACATAGAAAATAATAACTGATTGCATTATTTTGGCAGTAAGTTCAATTAATTACATGTGGGCCAAATGAAGGGACCTTATAGTAAGAAAATTTGGTTTGTATCCCATAATACATGAAAAGCATGAATTGCCAATATTTTAATAGGGGTGAACAAAGTAATGCACCTGCCACTAATCCAATCAGATTCATGATACTTGGATGTGACATTGCTATGAATTCTGATTTTCATTTGCAGGAAAGATTATAGTGTTAAATGTTGAAGCAACCAGGACTCTCATCTTTGTTGCCCCTTTAAAGCAAGTACATGCATTTGAAAGTTTTTCATGCTTTTCAAAACAAACAATTGAGTTTGGGGCAATATTCAATACTTCAGTAGTGTTTTTATGCCACCACCACAAGTAGTGACATATTGTTATAGTCTCCAACTTTTTTTTGTGGGTGGTGTTTGGCAGAAGACACTTAGTGTTCGGCCATTGGCGTGTTGTGTCTGTAACAAATGGCAGGCAGTGACATTTTGCATGTTCATGCCTCGTTATCTCATGTGATGGTATTGAGTTAATGAATGATACAAGAACAATTTCTTATTTGTACTTTATGTTATACTGCTGTGCAGTTTCATGTAACAGGTACTAGTTTAGGAGTGCTGCGGATGTGTTAACCCACCAATGTACATGTGCATTATTGTGAAATCACTCAAATGAAGTTACCTTATTTGTAAAATGTGTAAATATGCAATTTCAAGTATATTGTAAAAATATATGAACAAAAAAGCATGTACATGTTCACATATCTTCATTTTGTTGATATTGATTTTGTATTTTGTTGATAAATTTTATTCGTATGACATTGTATACCTGTCTGTTAAAGGTGCAACAATTAGTACAGAGGCGCCATTCAACGATCATCGACCAGTGTCAAAATACATGTATATTTAATTTAGGATATTTCATCAAGACTAACATATGTTTTCATTATCTTCAAAGAAACTCCCTGGATGAACATCATTTCAGCTGATATTCCTCTTGAAACATGGTGGATCTTAAAAAACTATAAGTGGGACTCCCTTTATAGAAGCTTTTAACTGAATTTACACTTCTTAATGCTGAAATTGATAGTTTATCCATACATGTCAAGAAAATAGGTATGTCAAAGAAGATGTTTAGCCAGATATTGACCTGATAGCTCAGAAAAAATAAAAAAATTCTAATTTTCTCTACAGTCATTGTTGCCCCTTTAAGACACGAGATATTTGCAATCTCATTGAAAAAAATGTAATGTTAGAGAGAAACTGCGAGTTTTACCACTGACTAAAAATTGTGTGATAATATTTGTTCATTGTGCTTGTGAACTGTCAATAGATGACATAAACTTTGTCCAATTAATTTTACTTAAAAATCTCACAACTAGTTTATTATCTTTCGAGTAAAAATAACGTCATAATGTAAAGAGAATAATTAGAATTAGTTTGATTAATGTAGCGTACATTTAGTTTTGTTAAAGCAAAAGTGGATTGTTTTCCAATATGCAAGAGAAGTAATGTACTAAACACAAAGTAATGCACCTGCCACTAATCCAATCAGATTCATGATACTTGGATGTGACATTGCTATGAATTCTAAGCACATTTGGACTTCTGTTTCAAAATATATGTAGTGTATATGTAGTTCTTTACAACTATAGGAATGTGATTTTATTACATGGATTACCATATTGAATTCTAGTTGTGGTATTTACAGCAGTAGTTGTTAAATCTTGTACAAACCTGATTTATTGTACACTGTACAAGTTATTTTTAAAATAAAAATGATTTAAATATTTGACTGATATTATTGTCTATGGTCGGTGAATAAAGATATTATTTATGATATACCAAAACTGTTTTCCCTGTTGAAACAAATGCTGTATGAGCTATTAAGATTTTTGTCATTTTATATGCATTAAGGCAAAATCAAAATAATCCAGCTTATATTAAGAGTAATTTCATTGTGTATAGTGTACCTAAACCTTACCTTGTGCCAATATGGCCTCTTGGTCTATACTGACCCAGACAGAGGCAGTATTTGCTGACAAATTAATTTGGGTAGAAGAAAACCTAGACAAAAAGCTCTCATTTAGGCATCTTAACTAGCCAAATTGGCAAACTTGATAATGCAATGTCTTTATGATATCCACTGGAAGGAACTATGTAGTACAATGTATCATTTTTCTGGATGTAATCCTACTCATATACCCCATCCCACGATAAGATGAAAGAAAAATGATTTTAACAATTTCAGGTCAATCATAATTGTGCTTCATTTTAGCATGGATTTTTTAAAAACACTGGGCCAAATATAAAATATGAGACACAGAATGAATTCACTAGATAATCATGACTAGCACAAATCTTCTGCCCTCTAGAAAAGTAAGAAATTAAATTCCATGAAAATCAAGAGGACTGCCTCTCATATACATATTACTAAATCTGTAGAATTTACCTTTCAAGTGACTTTGGCACACAAATGGGACCTTAACTGCCACCTATAATACTTGATTCCATTGGGCAATATTGAAACGAATATCTAATAATAAGGTTATGACATGATGTGTGAACTCCAATATACTAGATGCGAGTAGAAATAATCTCGATTTATTCATAATTTAGTTAAAATGATATCATATTTGAAGTCTACATGTAAAATTGCATCTAGAAATGTTAAAAAAGTATTTACCATTTTGAAAATTCAATTTTCTTTGAAAATGTGTCTTCTTGGTTAGGGAGATTCCCCATAGACCTCATGTTACAAAACCACAAAAAGTGAAATATCTTTTCTTGGGCAGATAATATTTTCTTTACTGGACATATTTTTGTTCATATAACTATCAGGGGACACATTAGGATTTTATGAAAATTGATCCACTTTAACTGATAGTATTCAAGTTTAAGAGAACTTTCTTATATACCTGCCATGTTAATTAACCCGAATCTGCCACCTGGTGGTGAACCTGGTAACTACCTACTGGCATCTGGGACTCTGGGTAAGTGCGCATAATTTTGCCAACACTTTTATGACAGCATATGGATCAGTATCCAGTGCGGCTACATGCAACTACATGTATACAATATGAATAAAATACAAAGTCATGTATAATTTCTTTAAAACAATGTTACATAAACTAAAATGATCATAGACATAAATCTTGGGGCTTGTACAATTGGATGAAAATGGGTTTTTCAATGCTGTCAAATAATCTAAAATAGTCTTGTCCCCAACATCTGATCATCAGGATTCAGGGCGTATGATCAGATATTCCCGTCCCGTGTATTTCAATTTCTAATCTCATTTCCTTTTCGTTCAGTGTAACTCACATCCGGGTACTTGACCCCAACATGGCGCCTGCAAAAAATAAGGAAATGAAAATTTTGTTGTAAACTTCCTGTGTTTACTCAGGTAGGCTGCTTTATTGGTTATTAATATCATCCTCCATTATATAAGAATTGTTTTCATATGTCCCAAAATACTTCTTTTTTAGTTTTGATTTCTCCATATGGAAGCAAAAGGTCTTCATTGACCGAATAATCATAGCAAAAAATAAAAACGATCTGCAAAAGTGCAAAACAAAATTTGTAGGACCCCAACCTCTAACTAATTATTGTCGACTGTCTGAAGAAAAAGTATTGGCATTTTTGTAATTAGATTATTCATTATGTATAGTGTTGAGGTTGTTCTTTCTCACTATAGTCTGATGATTGATGCTTGGTTATTTTGGTTGTCATGCTGACATGACAATGTCATCTGTCAATGTGATTTGAATAGGAACGGATGGTTCTTTCAAGCTCATATTTGTTTACTGGATTCATGGAAGGATGTGGCGTTATGTGATTTATATTATTGTGTTGCCACTCTCCCAGTGTTCCACTTTAGACCTCCTTCTAGACCTTGAAGATTATGATAAAATGCTATGATTCATCGAATACATTTAAGACAAGAGTTTAATTTAGTGTTGTATCAAAGCATGTAAATGTATATGTAAAACAAACTGTTCTATGCAATGATTTCTGCTCCCTATCCTTACTCCTACAGTTGGGGACATAAATAAATGACAGGTGGATTTGCTGAAGTGAGGATTTCCCATGTTAAAAATAAGAGAATTTACAAGAGGCCATAAATCAGTGGATGAGATTATACAAAATGTAAAATATACAAATTTTAAGGGATATGTATCTAGACAATATTGGAAATTATGGGCTTTCAGACCACCATAATTAGGAAATGGTGATCGAAAATCGACCTGTCATTTATTTTTGTCCCCAACTGTAGAGTCCATTTCACTGTTTAATTGCCTCAGTAAAACCTAAAAATTAAGAAATCTAAATATCATTGTGCAATAATATATGGAAAATATATTCCTATTGTACATGAATGACATTCGTCATCAAATTACAAGAGGGCACAGGCTTATTGCACAAAAAACTAAAAAAATCTGAAATATACATGTACATGTACAAATGTCATTCATGTACAATTTGAATATTATATATGTAACTTTTCCATATATTATTGCACAATGGTCTCCCGATTTCTTATTTTTGGGGTTCTACTGACGCAATAATACAGTGAAATGGACTCTAAGATTTCTCAATTTCTTGTCTAAATCTCTGCACAGACAACGGAATGACCCTTTTTCTTATACAAATTACAGATGTCATAAGAGGTACAATATCCCTTGATGCAACACTAAGCCAGCTCCAATTCCTTGGGAAATCAAAAATGTACAGGAGAGAAGGGGGAAAATATGTAT